AGGCTTTTAAAATAAATACAACGGATATTCCAAAAATCATGGCTTTCCTTATGGCTTCAACTGTGCTCTCAAATCATGGCTTCAACTATGCTCTCACATCCTTGCACAACATCAACAAAACATAAATCATGGCTTCAACTATGCTCTCACATCCTTGCACAACATCAACAAAACATGATATATCACGATTATGTAAAGCGCAGTTAGGAAAGAAAAGTCATCATCCCCATTCAGATATTTCGTCGAGCATGTAAAATGACTTTTAATAATAGCACAAATACAACAATTGAGTCACTTAAATAACTCGCACCCTCACATTAGATAATTACTCGTCAAAATAATTTGTAGAACCAAGAAGGAAGCGCAAAAAATCAAGTTTCGAAAATATATATGAATATTATTAATGAACATATTGTGTAAATACATGCAAGACAGAATGCGATTGGCATTCAAAATATTTACCTGTATTTATCGGTTTGAAACAACTTAATAAAAAAATATTCACAATCAATGAATGGACAAGGGGGATTCAATATTTCATAAAAATATTATTAGTCGTTTGAGTATGATTTCACAAGTGCTTGAAATTATTTTACAAAAAAACTTGTGGACAGTAGAAATGAGAATATGAAGAAGAAGCAAACCCATTAACAATAACATGATGAATAGATGAAGATCAGTTAATCTAATTCATCTTAAATTCGATTTTAACGATGTTGATGATTGATCAAATAAAGAAGAATTCAAAGGATGGTTTTCACATCGAAAGTAAAAAATATGAAGATAGTTGATCGAGTTCAAAAAATGCAATTTATTTAGTATTTGTGGGTTAATCGGAATATGTGTTTAGGTAAAATAATAATATCAAAACAATTAAACACCTTATACATAAATATATTTAAGTTAAATAATATATTTAATAATTTATTTTCATTACCGGTAGTTTCGTATTTACACAAGTTTTTTTTTTCTTTTCTTTTTTTCTATTAATTAATTACGAATTGGGACACATGGCATTAATTAAAGGGGAACGTGATGTTAGGTAGGTATGAGTAGGGGTGACGTGAGCCGGTACGGTTCGGAGATTGATAAATTTCTAGAACCGTACCAAACTTCAGAGATCCCAAAATTCAATCTCCAGAACCGTACCAAAAAGTCGGTTCGGTTCTTCGGAGATTTTTATTTTTCGGTTCGGTTCGGTTCGGTATTCGGGACTATTGGGACGGTTCGGTTCGGTATGGTTTGGTTCGGATCTTCGGAGATTTTTTATTTATTTAAATTATTTTTGAATGACTACCTAGTTATAATTTAATTTTTTTATGCTTTAAAAAACATCATTCATCAATAATTCATCATATTGAAGATTTTATTTTGAAATCAATTCTAGAAGTAACTCTAAATTTTAGTTATTTAATTTTTATATGCTTTAATAAAACCAACATTCATTAGTACTTCCTCACATTAACGAATTTATTTTGAAATCAACTTTAAAAGTAACTCTAAATTTTAGTTATAACTAAATTTGTGCAACTAATATTAAAATTTTAAAATTCAAATAAAATATAATATATTTTTTTTCTTAAAAAATATTCTTTGAACTTTCATATTATTTTAAATAATTATTTTATAATAGAAAAATTCAATTGTAGATCAAGTATTACTAAGCATGTAATTTAAGTAAAGGTTAATATATATTACTATATTATATAGAATCAAAGTTGACATAGAATATATTAATAACGCATCTAATGTTATAATTCGATTCTTAATTTCGGTTCTTTGGTTCGGTACAGGACGGTTCGGTTCGTTTCGGTTCTCCGTACGGATATTTGTAAAATCTCCAGAACTGTACCAATTATTTTTTCGGTTCGGTTCGGTTCGGAGAAAGTCAAACGGTCAACAGTTATTTTTCGGTTCGGAGTGATTTCGGTTCGGTTTTCGGAACGGTTCAGAATTCTCCGAGTCCCATGCTCAGCCCTAGGTATGAGGCGTACCCGACGGTAGTAATCTATAACTCTGCAAAAAACAGGTGTCTTTAAAAAATTTGAATTGCCAGAACTGCTTTTTAGTATCATTAATTTTCAAGGGCATTAATGTAATCTATATATATACAAAGAGAGAATCTATTTACCAAAAATAGTAGCAAAAAATAGGTCAGTATTTAATGCAACCCATAAATATAAGTTTTATTAGTTTTCTTATTTTTTTTTTAAAAAAAATAATATAATTTAATATATAAATTCGCTTTAATATAATCATACAATTTAATTTATAAAAATAATACAATTTAATTTTTTCCTTAAAAATACACTTTAATATGTATATATATATTTAGTACTTTTTGTAATAATGTTACTTAAATATCTAAACAATTTAAACATCTAAATGTTTAAACTAATTGATAAACAATTTATAAATCTCTATTTTATTTAAATATGTTATTTAAAATAATTTTAAATATATCAAAATTTATTTAGAAAATCATATCGCTCCTACCAGTTCAGCCGACTGGTGTTGACGGATTTAATAACAAATATTTTAGTCAAGCGAACTAGACTGATTATAAACTGGTTCTCGGTCCATCCGGTCGGACTATGTCCAACAGGGTTTAATTTAAAAATGATTGTTAAATCTTGATTAATTTATTTGTATATTCAACTTATAACACAATCGTAATATTATTTTCCCATGCATCGCACGAGCAACATACAAGTTATATCACTAAGATAGAGAGATATAATTGTTAAATTTCATTTTTTAATAACATCTTGTTCAATTTCAATTAATTTAAATTAAAAAATAGTAGTATCAAATATTTTATGTTTGGAAAAGATAAAAGCCAAAGTATAATCCTTCTATATAACTAATATATTTTTTACTTTTAAAATATTTATTTATTTATATAATCCAACATTAGAAATAGTTTTTATAATTTTTAAATTATTTTACAATATTGTGATCATATCATTCTTTTTATCTCATATTATTAAGGAAATGAAATGATAAATTATAACATTATTCTTTGTGTTGAATAAGGTTACTTTTGTTTTTATTAAATTTTTTTGGGAGATAATTAATACTTGTGATGATTCGAATAATATAATTTAAATTCACCTTTCAATAATAACATATATGTATAAATATTTTTCCATACTAATATGTGTTGGATTTATATATATCAGATGGATAGGTCAATGATGATTGATGAGTTACACGAATCTTCCTTAATCATTCTGGGGAATGGCGCTCGATACAACCAGGGGCGGATCCTTTCAAGGGCCAGTGTGGGCCTAGGCCCACACTGGAAAAACAATTACTACTTTCTATATTCTACTCAAAAATAGTTTAATGTTTAATTAATAAAATAAATAAATAAATAAAAAACAATGGGAACAAAAACAATGGGAAAAAAGAGAATGGGAAAAAAATCATGGTTCTTGTTTATTTTGGTGAAAGTGAATCTAGTCTTTTTTTATTATCTGATATAAAAATTAAAATTTAAACTTGTAGTTAACAGGTAATGGAAAGGATAACGGTCCCGCACCAGAGGCCTACCAACAGCTGGCTCTGCTACTAGCCTTAGCACTCTGCTTGCTAATTAGTTAACAGCTATCTAAAAAAAGGATCTTAAAACAAAACAAAAACTGTTTAATGTTGTTTCTTAAAAGACAACATATTTTAAATTTGTGTGTGACTGATAAATTGTACGGCTCTTAGAAGTTTGATATATTAGATAAAATATTTTATACATTATGATTTATTTGTTATATCCATTTTTGGAGAAATGTTTTTATAAATAATATTGACAAAAATGCATGTGAAAATATTCCAAAATTAGCTTTTATTCCAAATATACTTGAGGTGAATCATAATATTGTTAGGCCGAAGAAAAAAAATGTAAAGACCTTATTGTAGAGTCGTACCTAGGGCTGCAAGCGAGCCGAGTTGAGTCGAGCATTGGCCTTATCGAACAGGATTGAATTTTTTTTAGCTGATCGAGCTCGACTCGAGAAGAAAATACAAGAGCTCGAGCTCGGCTCGAGCTCGACTCGAATTTAAAATGCTCGAGCTCGGCTCGAGTTCGGTTCGAATTTTCAAGCAATTTTGTAAAATAATCATTAAATACATATATGTACAAGGGTATTTTAGTAATTTCATATATCTCGAGCCGCTCGCGAGCCGCTCAACAATGTAAAATATAGGCTTGAGCTCGACTCGAGTTCGTGCTCGAGCCGCTCGAGCTCGACTCGAGTTCGGTCAAACTCGAGCTCGAGTCGATCTTTGACTCGAGCGCTCGCGAGCTGCTCGACTCGTTTGCAGCCTTACCAAGCTATGAAACCTCATAAGAATTTCTATTAATGTCTATTTTTTATTTATACTTTATTACGGGATATTATATTTATTTTTTACAAATAAGTAGGCCCCCACTGATATTATGAGCTAGATCTGCCCCTGGATACAACCTCGTACATTCTGAACCTTGTACCATCGAAGTCAGTTGTCACTAATCTGAGTGAATTGTGGTATGGACGCAAGCCCAATCTATTACACATTCGAGTTTAGGGTAGTCCAATACACGTGCTACGACAAGACACTGACAAGTTTGATAAGCGTACAGAAGTACGACTGTGCATAGGCTATCCGAAGGGGATAAGAGGAGATTTATTCTATATATCTTGAGGATCAAAAGATTGATCGTTAGTACCAACGCTATATTATGAACCGTGACAAAATTGGATACCACGCTCTTTGAAGTAGTGGAAAGACATAAATGCCCTTAATAATAAACAATATAATTCCGATCCAAGTCCAGCGTCCAAACGGAATGAAAGTCCAATTACCAAAAAAAACCGGGGAGAAGTATTCATACTTCATAGAGGAGGACAAGTAAGGCATGAGCAGACACGAGGTGGCTTCATTTTCTCTTCCTTCTCCGTTTGTGGTCTTGTTGTAAATATCGTTTGATCTGAGGACTCCACCAACAGTTACTGAGTGATTTGATGGAGAGCAGGGCTGATTTCAGGTCGATTCTACCGTTTCTGCCTGTGATCCTCCGATCTTCCGCCGTCCTCTGGCCTCCTTCGGTGGTGGAAGCCCTCAAGTCCCTCTCCAAAGGTCCGATTCACAGCAATGTCAATTCTGGTCAACTCTTCGCCCTCGCCCTTGCTGACCTGCGCAATTCTCTTGGGCTTCACCCTATCAGCCCCTCCGCTTCACTTGGATTCTCTCTCTTCTTTGACGATGTCAGTTGAGCTCCTTCATTTCCTTTGAATTTAAGTTTTGATTGTTAGCTTCAGTTGGAGTCTTGATGTTTTTAAGGATTGTTTAGCATCAAGCTTAATTTTTTATATTATTTTTAAATCCTCTTAGTAGTAACTTATTAATTATTTTTGAAGCTTTTACAGCTTAGTGAGTTGAAGATCGTTTGTTTTTAAGTTACTTGTGTTAAAACCACTGTTGGCTGATTCTACTTGTTACTGATTTGTCTTTCGAGATTTGTGCTGTAGGATATTATATCTAACAACTTGATTTTTGATTCTCAGAAACTAGACCATGTTTTATATATTTTACTGCGTTGTGCATGTATAGTTGCTGGCTAGTGAAGAATGGAACTTCCTTTGATGGCTGTACTCTTGAACAGTAATGCGAAATGGTTATTAGAAATTTTCGTTTGCCTCTTTACTTTGTCAAATCTACAGTCCTGCACTTGTGAGTCTTAACTATGTAGTTTTCTCGGAAAGCGTTTCTATGCGATTTTATTGGCTGTCACTTCCTAATGAGCCGGGAAAATTATGTGAATATCTTTAAAACAGTTGTTTGTTGTTGTTACTTTTAGTTGATGAATAAGGATGAGGCTGAAAACTGGTTTCAACAAGTGGTTCCACGACTTGCTGATTTGCTGTTGAGGTTACCAGCATTATTAGATTCCCATTATCAGAATGTATCTACTTCAAACAAGACACCAACTGGTCTTAGATTGTTGAGATCCCAGCAGTCGGGCATTGTGTTTCTTAGTCAGGTAAGGTTTTGTTTGGTTGTTTATGTTTGTGTTTGTGGGTGTGTGAAGCATAATGACATGGATATTTTCTTTCAGGATTGTAAATAATGAAATATTGCTCTTAGTTGGCTGTTCAAATTTCATAAGTATATCCAGTGCACCTACGCTATCTATCTATCTACAATTCTACATATATATAAATGTGTTTGTGCATGTATATATATACATATATTTAAAAATTATTCAGTAGTTTGAATCTTTAGATCTGTAAAATGTTAATGTTGTGGCCTTAAAGTTCTTATAATGCAAGAGAAGATGAGTTGCTTATTATGTTATTTGCTGTCAATTCAACTTCAGTTGAACCTGGATCATAATTCTTTGAAATATTACCTTTCATACATTTCTAAGTTCTCTTAGGGTGCCGAGTTTCTCATTTCAATGGCGACCGTTATAGTTTTCATGTTTGTTTTTAAAAAAATTATTCCTCAAATTTTGAAAATCAGCATATTCTTCTTCTCATAAAGCAGGTATATGTAAGTTGCTATATCTTTATCTCTACCTCATAGTATTTGTACCAATCCATTTCTCAGTTCCACAGGTGCTTTAAATGATTGATTGGGATCAGATATGTTATTAGGCATTTCTTCGCGTATGGTTTGAACTTCGAATAAAAGTGAAAGAACTTACTAGCTAGTGGTAAAAGAAGCTTAGACTTGCAAATAAATATGGGACTGCAACTACACTGTTCATTGTTTGCAAATTGTTGATTGTTGTTGAATTCTACTGATGCTCAGACTTTATAGGTGGAGAAGTTGTCAAGAGTTGTTTCAGATTTCTGTATTATGTATGGGTTCAATGCAGTGTTCACTCGCATCCGCCTTATAAATTCAAGTTTGAATGCTTCAACCTAGCTGAGTCTGATGTCTAGACTTCAAGATGTCTTAGATGGCATCGGATATAGTTATATAAAACCCTTTGAATTTTCAGAAGATAACTATTTCAATATGTGTGTATTTTTGTGTTCATTTCTTTGTAGCTTATATTTTTCTCTGTTACGATAAATATTTCTGATTTTCCTTCTAGAAATATTATTTTTTCCAGGTCAAACTCCTATGTGCAGTACTTCAATATGTATGTATGTAATCAAATATCTTCATATGTTTTTGAAATTATTCGTAGTCAATAATATTTCCCTTACCCTGCAAGTTTCCATCTTAATCTTCTAAACGTTTAGTTGGAGCATTGTAAGTTAGGTCGAATTGTGAATTTACTTTCTGGTGTTTTTTATTGTAACTATCTGCTGAGTAGCTACTTACACATCCAACCTACTCGGAAGGAATACTAGGATCAGATTAATTGAAGTTATACTAAATACCACTGAATTCAAGTGATTCAAGTGATCTATATATATGAATGATAGCTTATGAAAATGACTTTGACATTGGAGATTGTTCTTTCGGATGTAACATCAGTCTACAAATAACACAATCCGTTGATTGTTGCAATCTGTTACAAAGAGATTATGATCTGATCAGACTTGAGAAGAAACATACTGTCATTGTATAAATTGTGATACCATGTTTTCATCAAGCCTAATATTTTCTTTGTTTGGACAGTAAAATAAGGTCAATTTGTTTGCTGATTCAACATATTGCATTGAACCACCATTTCTAAGTGTGAGGTTTTATCTGTATTTCAGGAACTGATTGCAGCTCTCCTGGGTTGTGCTTTATTTTGCTTGTTTCCAACCTCTGATAGAGGCGCCAAACATCTTCCACATATCAACTTTGATGATTTATTTGCGTATGTTTTCTATATATATGTTCCTTTAGTGTTTCTTCTTGTTGATAGCTTTCATTAATCTGAATGTAATTTAAACGTTAGTGAATTTAGTAATTTACATCTCCTTCTACATAACCACACCTTCCATTGAGTTCCAAGTGCACATGCACTTTATCAAAGTTCGAGTAATTAACAACAAAACCCTTGCTTTTGAATATAGTTTGCATTGCTTGCATCATTGCACAGATGTTGACTGACAGTAGCTGAAAGGACAATTTTCATTCTCTTAGCACATTTCGTTTCTACAATTCAACTTGTATGCATTTTTATCTGGAACTTGATGGGACATTCTTTTCTGTTGCTAGAAGATCAGTAATTTCTTGATTTGAAGCAAATTTAAGTTTATCTACTAATACCGTGGGGTTATTAAGCGGACTGGCTTAGTATGGGCTGGGTAGAAGTGAACAGCAGAGTGTTTTCTGTTTTTCATTGAAGTTCGTTTTTTATTTCATTTTATTGCAATGCTGCTTACAAGTGTGATTCCTCCGATGCTGGGCGACTTTCTTGCTATCTGTTCTTTCCCAGGTGTCTATATGAGTTTTACGAAATGGCTCAGGAAAATAAAATAAAGTGCATTGTTCACTATTTCGAGAAGATATGTTCAAGTATGCCTGTGGGTAATGTCTCCTTTGAGCGCAAGGTCCTCCATTTGAAGAACAGTCCATCAGACATTGTTTACCCGGAAGCTGATTTCTGGAGCAAATCCATGGTCCCTCTCTGCCAATTGGAGGTAAAAATGAGCAAGCCAAACTGTCAAGACTGAGAAACTTTAGAGGGATTTTGACTGATTTTATTCCCCGCATTTTAATTCTTTTTCTGCTTTCAGTTTCCTTGAGTAAACAATTCACTGTTTAACCTTATCATGCTAGATACTCCCCCATAATGTTTTGTCCTTAAATAATCAAGGCAAACAGAAATGTGAATGTGCATCTAATATTCTTATATTTTCAAATAGCCAGTTCCATGTATCCTTTTCATCTAAAACTATAACAACGTCCAACTCTTATAACTCAATAACGAAAAAGTGACATTTTTTTCTCAAGTAATACTATTATTTGGCTTAGGAAACAATATCCAAGAGATAGCACATCCATGGCGACCCCTTTTCTGCTCTTCTTTTAGTCAAATGTTGATGGAGTTTCTATTTTGTACGGATTCTATGGTAGGTTCGAAGTACTGGTTTAATTGAAGATCAGCCAAAGGAAGCTCTTGAAGTAGATTTTGCAAATAAATACATCGGTGGTGGTGCTCTGAGCAGGGGCTGTGTTCAGGAAGAAATACGTTTCATGATCAATCCCGAATTGATTTTCAGCATGCTTTTCCTTCCCTCAATGGCAGATAATGAGGCTATCGAGATTGTTGGTCCCGAAAGGTTCTCAAACTACACTGGCTATGCTAAATCCTTCCGCTTTTGTGGAGATTACGTGGATCAAAAGGATGTGGACACAATGGGAAGGCGCAGGACGAGAATAATTGCGATTGATGCTCTTTGCAACCCAGGAAGGAGACAGTACAGTCTAGAATGTCTCCTTCGTGAAACTAACAAAGCATTCTGTGGCTTTCTTAATCAACGTAAATTCACAAATGAACCCACGGAAGTTGCATCCATTTCCTCTCGAACAGATGAAGAAATCAATTATCAGGCAAACCAAGAAAACGAGGGACAAATGCATGAGATTGGTGTTGCTACCGGTAACTGGGGATGTGGGGCCTTTGGGGGAGATCCTGAAGTTAAAGTTGTGGTCCAATGGCTGGCGGCTTCTCAAGCACGAAGGCCATTTATATTATACTACACATTTAGTTTGGAGTCGTTGCAGAAGCTTGATCGAGTGGAACGGTGGATTTTGTCTCAGGAATGGACTGTTGGTGACCTTTGGAATATTTTGGTGGAATATTCGACTCAAAAGCTGAAAGGGGAGACCACCGATGGTCTCTTCAGATGGCTCATTCCATCCTTATATGATGGCAATGACGATCGAATGGATGTCGATGCACCTCACACTACATGAATTTCTTCTAGTTCATGTTACTGTCAGATTTTGTCCGGAAAGATTCGTTAACCCCTGATACTGGATTTGTTGTATTTTATCTATTCATTTATTCTTTTCCTTGCCAATATGATAAATCAAAGGGATAAATATGTTGACCAATCTGAAATTTAGGGTCTTTTTTGGTTTGCAACTTAATCATTAATTTTTGATAAATTGTAACCCCAACTATATGTAATTGGTAAATACCAACCTAGACCACCTAAATGGCGGTGCTTAAGGGTAAAATCGTAATTTTATATCATATCATACTATTAAAATATCATTCCCTCCCCAATTTCTTTAATCTCATGTCCTGATTTCCCTAATTTCGCGATTTCCCTAATTTTACAACCCTAAACCTTTGATTCTTCAGCGAAATAATTTGGAAAATTCGTGAACAACACACGATTATTACAACTAATAGATTCTTTCCAGATTATGCTAAGTTTGCGGCACTTAATTTATTACACAATGTTGGCACTTTCTGGCATGGTTTAGGAATTTGATGTTTTCGTTTTTTTTTTCTTTCGGATTTTTTTTTCTGGTGTTAACTCGCAGTTAGGGTTCTTACGAAAATTGGGGAAAAAGTTGAGGAAAAAAATGGATAAGTGGATGGAAGGAATTGAGAGAATGATATATTTATATAATGACATATAATATAAGATAAGATTACAAGTATACCCTTACAAAAGTTGCCAGCTCCGCCGCTTAAGGAGTTCCTCGGCCAATTTCGGTGGCAGAGGTTGGTATTTACCAATTACATATAGTTGGGGTTGCAATTTATCAAAAATTAAAGATTAGGTTGCAATCCCAAAAAAGCCCTAAAGTCTAAATTGGTCAAAATATTTTACTCTAAATCAAAATATGAAACTCGCAATCCTTTAGTTGCATTTGATTATTTCTAAAGTCTCTGTTTATGCTTTTGTACACAATGTGATCTTTTTTTTTTTATTTTTTTTTTTATTTTTTTTTTAACAAAGAGAGTTGTACAAAATGTGATTAATCAAAGAACTATACACGTATCTGTGGATGCCGATATTACCAGCATGTAGTGGGCTTTCGTCGGGTCAGGTTTGTCCAAGTTTGGGGTGGGGATTCACCCGCCTCCGACCATAAAAGTTGGTCAATTGCTACAGAGGTCATTCATAAACAAACAATTTGAGCATCAACACTAAAGGCGGTATTTCAGGGCGCGAGCTATATTAAAAGATACTCCCAATAATTTGTTACAAACTGAGTGTCGAATTATAACGGGAAACCTTCGCAGTAACCTGTTCAAACTAAGTATCGAGTTACAATGGGAAACTTACGAACTAAATTGATATTTTCAGTTTCTACAATATAAACTAAAACTTGAAAATTATAGTAGAACATAAATGAAGAAGAGTATAGCTGAGGTGAGAAGATCCTTTTCCGCAAGACAAATGCGCCTCGTAAAGTGCTGACGAGCCTGCGTCTTGTCCCCAAAGGTGAAACGACAATCGTCTAGAAAGGTTGCATGACACCAGACTTCGAGCTCCGCGAATTTGAACAGAGCCGAAAACTGAGAACACTTGTGATATGATATGTGGCGCTTTCAAAGAGCATGATGCAAATGATGTGATGTTGTGTATTTTTTCTTTAGCTCTAGATATGTCCTGTATATAGAACTTCTAGCTAAGGCAAGGAGGACTGAAGGTCACCCGCCACTAAGGGCAGGTAATAACCCGATCATAGCTGTTGTAATGGGCATAAAACGGCTTGACCGTTTTCAGGTGTTAATACACCATCACTTCACATGATAACTTATGAAACAACAATTGGAGCCAATATGTCCAGATACATTGTATATAAAGAGGTCCACACGGGTTGGGCTAAAACACGAGTTCAAACCCAATGCAGTTTGAATTTCATTAATGCCACAATATTGCAAATAAATTTGTAGTAAAAAAAATTATGGGTGTTGATCCCAAGACCTAAGCCCAACACTTGTCCAGACCGTCTGAGGCGTCCAAGTTCAGCCCATAGACTAATTGCCAAGTACCAAGGATCAAGGTCCAAGATCAAGATCCAAGGCCTAGGTGTTTATAGTTTTTTTTTTTGGGTAATTGGTAACTGAGCTACCCGGACTCGGGTCGTTCACAAAAGAAGGCTATTCGGACATGGATTCAAGCAGCGATTAACTCACAAAAGAAGAGAAAATAAAAATACTAGACACTTTACTCGCAATTTGGGGTTTGGATTAAGCTAAAGAACGCAATTTTAAACTAAACGAGAGCAATATTCAAACTTATCGCAAGCAAGACCTCAATTTGCAAGAATAAAAAGAAATTAAAGAGAAAAAAACAAGGTATCCCTAGACCCGAGATGGAAAGAATACACTCATAGGTTCGAGAACATGCAATCAAGCGGTCGTCACTCGTGATCAATTAATCGACCTCTCAATCAACTCTCGTTCACACAATCAATAACAAAATCACATAATCCCTAGCCTATGAGGATGATAGCATAATCGACTCATGGACGTGCCTCTCTTAACCCTAGAATAAATCCAATAAGTAAATACAGCAAGACTCATGAAATCATGGACCTTAAACGAAGTCTCCAAGTCTCTAATGCATCCACGAGAAGAAATAAGCCGAAAAGTTGTAATATTAATGGAGAAATATTACAATAAAAACAGGATCTTGGAGCCTTAAAGAGAGAAAGAAAACTAGAGAGAGAAGAGAGGGAAAACTAAAAAGAGAATTTAAGCGAATGAGGAATAGTTCCAAAAATACAAAGCACACTGTCTATTTATAGCTACACCACAAACACACACTAAAACACACACATTTAATGACGAAAACTCGCAGGATAGGTCGAACTCGCGAGCAGGAGGGAGCTTGCGAGTGTGGCTTGGGTGTTGGGCCGAAACTCGAGGCTGAAGAGGAGTTCATGCGCGCGAAGAGCAAACTCACGAGCATGGCTGGTGTTTGGGCACTCGTGACTTGAGGCGTGCTCGCGGGTGCGAAATGGACTTCCACGAGCCTGGGTGCATTTGAGGAACTCGCGAGCTGTGGGGCTTCCACGCACCCGAAATGCTAATTCGTGGCCTAGGGCGCATTCGCGCGCGCAACTGTGGACTCGCGGGCGCTTAACTGTCGTGGCTTGATCCCGGTGACCCCTTGAAGGTCGGTTCGCTCTAATTTCTCGCACACTTATCCGATTGACTTAAAACTTCGACCCACGCTCCTCAAATATTTTTCTCCTCGTCTTGAGATGGATAATTCGATATCACCATGCAATCAATAAGTATGCTCGGAATGGCTCGGAAGTGGTTCTGTGGCTCTCACATGGTTCGAAAAGCTCGAAAATGTCTAGAAAATAGCTCGTCTTCCCAAACTCGAATAGTGTGGGCCTAAACAACATAAAAAAGACACGAAAAGTACTCCGAACTACAAAAGCACAATACAAGAATAAAAATGCACGAAACACGATAAAATAGAACGGTCGACACTAAAACGAACCTAAAAACACTAAACTAAAACACATAAAACACACGAAAATAAGCATAAAGATACAATAAACAACTCCCTTACACTTAACTCTTTGCTTGTCCTCAAGCAAACAAGACAACAAGTAGCTCAAAAAGAAAAATCGAAAGGTCCAAAATTAACGAGCATGCGAAATGTAACTCTCATCTTCATCCAGATATCCATAAAATTGAAATCAAATCCGGAAACACGGTCCCCGCATAGTGAATCCATACAAGACAAAAACCCGTCCCGAGTTATTCGACACATGATTACTCGATTCAAACTCCCACGTCTACATACACGTGCAAAAACTATAATGGTCTACTAAACATGGAATGATAAGAAAGAGACCAATAAGCCAACTCCTTAATTTTCTTCTTTTCCCTTTTTTTTATTATTATTATAGCTACTTTTTCCAAATGAGAGCGGTTAGAACAATTATTACCTAGGTTTATCCTCGGGGTTAGCCCCTGAGTTCCCTAGGCCTACTTTCCGTACTCATTTGTCCCGGTTTATCTAGAAGACTAACTGAGCCAAGAGTAGCCTAATCCTTTCAACTCACACAAACTCATTTTTGTGAGCTTCTTTTTCCAAACAAGGTTTCCTGACGAGATGATCTAGGTTTACCCTCGAGGGGTTTCCTCGAGTTTCCTAGACCAGTTTCTCGGGCTTATTATCCCATTCCACGAAGTGGCTCGGAATAAGAGGAGCCTAATATGTAATTTCTCGCGAACTCACATTTTATTTCTTTTTTTTCGAAGGGAGTGAGACACAAGGATACATCTCAAATACAATATCGTGAACATCTCAACTCAATCAAAATGTACCACAAGTGTATAGATAACACGTTTGCAATGAAAATTGAACATAAGATAAGCATGCCTCAAGATAATCAATAGAGAACAAACAAGGGACAAAATAATTCCGTGAATTTACATGCAGCTTCCAATGTCAACAAATCGTCATTCAATTTAGGAAACCGTCCAATTCATCAAGTACATAAGGCATGAACGTTAATAAATTAACCAATCAATAATCTCGACTCACCACTTAGCTATCTTGACTCTCAAACAAACATCAAGCTTCATGCGGGAGAGGTGACGCAAACACACAAAAACTCAAACAAAACTGGTCCACGACACGACAAATACAAAAAATAAGGCGCCTAAGACGAAAACAAAATCGCCTAAACATGCATAATCACAAAAGTCCCTCCTCCACACTTAAAACTAAGTAATGTCCCCATTGCTTGACCAAAAAGCATAAGAGAAAGCACATAATCATGTAAGTTCATGCGATGACACAAAACTAAATACGCTAAACAAATATACACAACGATGGAAAACACAAAAACACACAAGAAACAAGAAAAAGAACAAGAAATAAGAAACGAAAATGCATACTCTACACGGTGGTGCTCCACCGTGCGTCTAATGGTGTTCGTCCGGTGGGAATATGAGAAATGATGCAAAGGCCCTCGAG